GAAGGAAGAAACCATTTGTTTGGGTCACCATTCTATACTCAGCTCCTAGCACAGGATGTGACATACAATTTTCTGTTGAAGGCATGAATTGAATAGTTACCATCTATGTGTGGGACACTGAGGTATGGGCTATGAGTCGTGGCTTCTTATATGCAACCTGTCAGCACATTCTGTCCAGTTACCTTCAAAACACATCCAGAGTCCAACCCCTTCTCCCCACTTCCACTTTAGCACTCAGGGTTAAGCCACTCTCATCTCTCACTTGAATGGACCAGATTTTATCTTGTCTCCCTGCTTCCACACTTACCCCTGGCCCTTTCAGTCTAATTTCAACAAACCAGTTGGAGTGATACACTTAGAATGCTTATTTTTTAGCAAGAATGGAACACACATTACCAATGAAGCAACACTGTGGTAGGAATCAGGAGATCTGACTTCTAGTTTTCCATATTTTAGTCTATATTCCAGCTCTATTACTTTGATCAAGCTACTGAATTACTCTTGACCTCAATTTCCTCATCTGCAAGATCAGGGATTTGGACCATATGTTCTTAGTATGTCTCATAGAACAATAACTTTCCATGGTCATAATTTAAAAATGAATGGAAAACCAGCTGATTATTACCAGTGGAGACCTACTTATTGATGTTTTTGGAATTATTATATGTATACATGTAATCGGTGTCAGTCTTAATACTGAGTGCTAGATTATTCATTGAAAAGCACTTAGTTTATATTTGAATTCCACCACGTATGGAAAGAACTTATCACCAGCCAGTTTAGATACAGCTATTTTGGGGTGCCTGACTGATATGTACAATTAACATAGATTTGCACTTCAGACAGAGCCAGAAAATTCTAACAGATGAAAAGCAGAACTAGGGCAGCTCCTACTCCTGACACTTCTGTTTGACAGAAAATGTCGAAATCTAGGTGTCAGAGAAATCAGAGTAGGCTTGCCTGTCTTTTGTGACAAAGAAATTTTTATGACCAGAAAAAATGGAGAGAACCAGATTTGCTACCTGCAGGCTAGTGAATGACAAGGAAATAAACTGTATGTAAAAAAAAAAGATAAATAAATAATATAGAAAGAATCACCTCTAATAGAGATGCATGAAACCTAAGAATCTCAAATGGAGTCACAATTACGGTATGATTGCTGATTCTGTCAGCAATGATGTGACTGAATCATATTTACTGAAAAACTTTTTTGGTGTGGACTTAATGGTTTTATTTGTAAAAGGAACTGAAATCAAACAGTTTTTTTCTGATTACTTTAACTCTATTTTTTATGTTAATTTATTACTTTAACTCTATTTTTTATGTTGATTTCTCTGATACAATGTACATATTTTCTCATTATGAAATCCTGTGTCAGTATAATTTGTTCTGAGAATGCTAGCTTTTATCTAAATATCTTTATCATATTAAGACTATGCTTATGTCACTTTTAATCCAAGATTTTTGCTCTTATATAATAGACAAGCTCTCCGACACAACTACTTCAAATGTTTTCACATCTGGTAGTTTAAATGGAGTTTCCTTGATTTAGAGACTTTTTTTCATAACTGAAATATTTTTCAGAGTACTAGATAAAAATATAAGTTAAAAAGTTTCAGAAGTCACTGTATGCAATTCATTTGACAATAAAATAATTGAGATATATAATTCAGACTGTTCCTTTTCATACTGAACTACATAGTAAAACATTATTTTAAGACTAAGAAAAGGAAAATTGGTTTTATCTAACAGAAGGGAAAAAAGAACTTGATGGGTAGATATTTTAACTTCTGTGCTTGCAGCAGGAATCAAATCATTATTTTGCTGTCAATTTAGACAGCATTCTTCAGTCCTCTCTGCAGTGCTACACTCATCTTGTAAATGAGAAAACTGAGTAAGATAAAGAAAGCAACTTATGCAATCTCAGATATAAAAAATTAAATTACTAGAGGGCTTGATGTTTGCTGCCACTTCTTCAGAACTGGTTACCTCAAATGCACTTATATTACATTTTGCTTATTCTCAACCCACTGGTGAAGACATTTTGGTAGTACTGTTGGAGGAAGGGTACACTATTTGTGCACTATCATAGCGCCAGATACTGAATCAGATCTTTACATATACTGTCACCACACAGAGCCAAAGCTTTTACCCAATTATAAAAATGTATATGAGGGAAGATACAAAGAAACAGAAAATACAATATCCAAAAACATTTTATAGCAAATGAAGAAGTATATTTTATATGGCTGTTTCTTGTAATAGCCATATGATAAAAATTGAGGACATTATTTTAAAATGCACCTAAGTGAAGACGCTTCAACATTTGGCTAAGATATATTTCCCAATATATGCTTTGGTAAATTAAACAAGTAGGTTGTAGGGATGATACTCTCATAGAGGTAGTCTACACTCTTGAATCCACTCTAGATTTTATGATAATTTAGGATTTTTATTTTACCACAAACCTCATACATACTGTCAATAGAGAAATTTTCAAAGCAGGTTTTACACAGTAAACACTGATAATGGCCACAGAGAGGGAAATCTCAGGCCAGGCGCGGTGGCTCAAGCCTGTAATCCCAGCACTTTGGGAGGCCGAGGTGGGTGGGTCACAAGGTGAACAGATCGAGATCATCCTGGTCAACATGGTGAAACCCCGTCTCTACTAAAAATTACAAAAAATTAGCTGGGCACGGTGGCGCATGCCTGTAATCCCAGCTACTCAGGAGGCTGAGGCAGGAGAATTGCCTGAACCCAGGGGGCGGAGGTTGTGGTGAGCCAAGATCATGCCACTGCACTCCAGCCTGGGTAACAAGAGCGAAACTCCGTCTCAAAGAAAAAAAAAAAAAAAAGAGAGGGAAATCTCAGTTTGGTAGTTTCCTATTGCATTGATTTAGCTAAGCTGGAAGGAACTATATATTTTAGAATTCCTTTATCTATATGGTTCTGCGTTAGGGTTGGCCACTACGTAAATTTGTGTCAATTTTGGAGAATACAAGTAAAGCAGCCCTTATGCTCCGAAAAGTCAGGGCAGGCTGTCAGTCACTGTTGCAGCTGATACAAATTGTTTTATGTTGGTTTGCCTTATTGGTTTGAGCCAGCAGCCAGGCCTACAACTCTTCCAGTTCCAATCAGATCCCCTCCTTCAGCTCCTGAGTATTGATTGGACAATGAACTTGTGAATCTCCATGGAGAAGGGCACCAGCTTCGTGCTGAAGTTAAAGGAAACACTGATTTGTGCTGATGGATTCTAGTTTGTCTTGTTCTCCCTCACTTCATGTCCAGATTTTCCTCCCAACCGCTGGCTCTGCTGAGGCATCTTCACCAGCTCCTCAACTGAATAAGATCTAGTCCTTTATTGCATGTCACTTTGAGATTCTAGTTCCCTGGTTGAACTTCAACGGATATACTCATTAATGCCCAAAAGAAATGCAATCTATTTTAGTCCTAAAAGGCTTCCTGATTTGCTCATCAGGAGAGAGATTCCCTTACAGGCAAATTAACAAATTTTCTTTCTATATAGAGCAAAGAATAGTTATTATTTGCTCAGCACAATGGAAAGAATTTTATATACAATGTATAATTTAATTTTGAAAAAAAAACCAGATAAGTAGTCTTATCCTCTTTTTACCTATGAGAAACTGAGGTTCAGAAATGTGTCTAGGTTCTTATAGCTGATTTAAATATATAGCTGACTTAAACATATGGCTCATGTTTTATAACTACAACAATATCCTTGGGCATCTGAATTTTAAAAAAGGCAATTCTCTTCTTAATGCTGAATTCTTATCTGGAGACTATCAGACACAAGACCCATTACGTCTTGGGACACTCCAGATTTATGAAAATAAAAAAAAGACATGGGAAGACAACTTGTTCTCCGGTTTACTAGGGCAGAAAAGTTTATACTAATTTACCTAACACATATAAAGAACATGGGTTTGAAACACTGATCTATTTCTCAACATTCCAGGTTGTTTTGGATTGAAGTCTATTAGGATCCTGATCTTAAATTACCCTGATATTTGTAGAGATGTTAAGAGACAGATTTAGCAATATCATTTAGAACTGAGACTCTAGGCTGAGCTTATACACTTTGGCCCATTGCCAATTGCTGTCAGAGTCAAAACCAGTGAAAAATCCTAGTGTCTGCAAACAGTTTAACATAGTTCTTAGAAAATTTATCTTTAAGAAACTAGAATCTAACAGGAGTCAATTATTGTACCTTAATGTCATTTATTAAGAGGAAACTGGGTTATTTTAGTATATACAGCAAATTGTTAAATCTTATAGTTTTGTGGAAGTTGAGAGTGCTGAAACCATCAGGGGGGTAATATTAATATACTGTGGGATTTAAGTGAAGAAAATAATTTGGTACAGGCTATGAACCTTCAATCAGAATAGACTTTAAAGAATTCTAGGGGTAAAATAATTCTACCTATAGTTTTATTAAACTTGAGATGTTTGATTAAATGAGTTATGGTGGCAAGGTAATATGAGTAGGGTGATTATGGGAGCTAAAAAAGCCAATTGCCTACAAAATTTGACAATGTTTTCTGAGTCTATAAAGCTAGGAGACAAACATCTACAATATACAAGGGAATGGGGCTTCTTTATGCTCTCTGATCAAAGCAACTAAAGGCAAGTATGTAATTACTGACCTTACCAACCAAGCCAAGGGCCTGTCATTGGAATTTATTTATTTTTCTCCCTAAAGGCAAAAAGGAATTAAAAATAAGACTAAAATTTAATAAATTTATAATTCAATTCTTCTGCATCATGTTTTACATGGTGCCTCATTAATTAAGCCAAATTTTGTGTTTTGCTTCCTGGCAGTCATTTTCTACCCAGGAACTAGCAGAAAGATCCACATTTGTTCAAATGTGAAGCTGAAAGGGCTGGCTTCATTTCATCAACAATATTGTTTTATACAATGAGGGACCAAAAATCTTTCTCAAGAGTGAGGGCATATTAGTGAATCTTTTTTTTTTTTTAAGAAAATTTTTGTGGTTTTATTGTATCATGAGGCATTGAAACATCTGAACAAAGCAACTTCTGGGCGGTGAGGCAGCTGCTTTCTCCTTCACATCTTTGGGTTACTAGAGCAACTTGTCAGTAGATTAAAAAAAAAAAAAAAAAGGACAACCTTTTGCATTACTTAAGTCTTTCCAAGCATGCGCTGGTACAACACAAACTTCTCCCGTCAGATGCAACTAGTCTAGCGTCCAAACATCATGCACAACACCTTGGTGGCAGCAGCGCACTGCGCCCACTCCCGCCGCAGCCCTGCTCATTTGTGCATGATATTTGTAGCATCTGGAGGAGTGGTAATAGTATTGGGAAGAGGAGGGAGGAGGAAACAGTGCGAGTGCCTGGCTGAGAGGTCAGTCGAAGTTGTGCAGGGCGAGTCTGAACATGTCATTGGTGTAAACCCAAGCATCGTTGATGTTCTTTAATAGGAACATCTGGTGGAACCCCGTAATGGGGTCTTCATCCGCTTTAAGCTGGCCCACAACCATGCTGATGATGCAGCTATCTGGCATGGGCTGATGGTCCTGCGCCGCGATGCTGTGCTGGATTTTCTGGAATGGAAGGCTATAACTTCTCCACAATGGCAGCTTTCCCCTGGAACTGTTGTCCTTCCCACGTAAGGCATGACGCGTCAATGTAAATTGCGCCTAGTTGGGTTCTATCATTATCAAATAACTGGTAATAATGTTGAATGAAGGTGGATCCAATCTGCTCCCAAATTGGCTTGTCTCCCATTCTGGAGCATCACCCAGCCTCACAGAGACCCAAGGGGCTGGCACGATGGCGGCAGTGGCAGCGGCAGCTGCGGCGGCAACCCAGTGCAGTCTGCCCTTTTTGTTTTTTTAATGTTAAAATTTTAAAACTTAAAAATTGATGAAATAAAAATTTCTAAACATTTAAACAATATTTTCAAAATTAATAAAATTGATGAATTTAATCAGTATCTTAGGAATTCCATTAAATTACAAGTCTTGTACCTCAAATCTCTTATAGGCTTCTGACACTTTAAATGCAGCATGGAACATAACAATAAAAGCAAAATTGGTTATTCCCACACTCAATCAATACAAAAATATTAGTACTGTGGATTTGCTTCTTTAAAGTATTTCTGTATTGATATTTTGGAAATTTAAATATGTTATATATATGTGAATAGTTATGTAACTATTAAATCATTAAACTAATAAAGAAATAATTAAATTTCTTTAATAGTTATGTAACTATTCAGATATATTTCATTTTGGGTGAGTTCTCGCAGTTTGTATGTTTTGAGGAATTGGTCCATTTCATCTGAACTGGTAGACTTACATGCACAGAGTTGTATTTATTTAGTATTCTTTTAATGTCTATGAGGGTTGTAGTGATATTCTCTCTTTTATTCTTGATATTGGTAATTTGAGTCTTCTCTCCCTTTTCCTTTTATCAGTCTTGCTAGATGTTAGTCAATTTTTTAAATTAAAAAAACCCATAGTTTTTGGTTTGATTTTCCCTATTGTTTTTCTGTTTTCAACTTCATTGAATTTCATGATCTTTATTAAACCTTCCTTCTGCTTTTATTTGGTTCTTTTTCTAATTTTTTTGAGGTAGGGGCTCAGATTATGGACATCTTTCTTTTCTTCTCATATAAGCATTTAGTGCTATAAATTTCCTTTAAGTATATGCTGTCTTTTTATTTTCACTCAGTTTCATTTTCCTTTATACTGCTTTTTAATCTGTGGATTATTTAGAAGTATGTTCTTTAATTTCCAAGTGGCTGGAGATTTACTTGTTACCTTTTTGTTATTGGTGTCTAGTTTGATTTCATTATAATCAGAGAACATACTTTGTAGTATTTCAAGTTCTTTTAAAGTTAAGGTTTGTTTTATGACTCAAGATATCTTGTATTCTGATGACTGTCTCATGCACGTTTGAAAACAATGTGCAGTCTGCTGTTGTTGGCTGTCAGTTAGAAACTGCAGGTAGACAGTCATTCAGTACTTCTGTACCCTTGCTGGTGTTTTCTTTAGTGGCTCTATCAATTACCAAAAGAGGGATGTTGAAGACCCCAATCTTAATTGTAACTCTTTCAATTTGTCCTATTAGTTCTGGCAGATTTTGCTTCTAGTGTTTGAATCTCTGTTGTTTGGTGCTTACATGTTTAAGACTGTCATATCTTCTTAGTGAATTGAACCTCTTTATGCCAGTTGTGGTGGAGGAAGAGAAACATGACTTTTTTCATGGTTTCTGTTTTGAGAACAGGCAAGTATTGTTAAAACATTTCTGTCACGTTGGGTTAAAGAGAGTCCACTGGCTAAAGAGAGCAGGCTTTTTGGGGGCTGTATTTTGTCTGTACCTATTGATGTTTTCAGGTTGAAGGCTTTTATAGCACCCAGGCAAGGTATACAGGAGGCAAATAAAAAAGCCTGGAAACTCACAGCGCTTCCTTGGGTCTGAAGGTCCCTAGCCTGTCTTCTTTATTTTTTTGTACCTTTCAGAGTCTTCTGGTAGATGAGTTAATGTATCTTATCCAGGTATTTTTCAGTTGTGAGCAGTAGGAAAAATAAAATAAAATGTGTGTACTCCATCTTATCTGGGACTGAAAGTTTGTATTTGTGAATCTTTAAACCTTCAAAGAGTATTTCTATTATTAAATCCTCTAGTTTGGCCAGTTCAGTTATAAGTACACCAGTCTGTGGTGAATGAGAAAATGGGAGGATGGGAGGAGTACTGATAGTCGATTTTTTTTAAAAAAACCTTCCTAAATATATAAGCAAAAAGAACTATTAGTATAAATGAGTCAGGAAGTACAAGTGAGCTAATTTTTTATGGACTAGCATTCACCAAATCAGTTTCATATTTATAAACAAGTAAAGCCAATATTTTTTTTCTTCTTCTTTTAATCATATATCTGTATCTAAGGCAGTGGGTTTCCACAGTTTTTGACTGTGGCTCCCTAAGACAGACCAATAGATCCCTTGGGTGGTCTCTTTATCCCTACTTTCCAATGGATAAAATAATTAGGTGATATCAATAGACTGTTACTCTATAAGTGCTGTTGGGTATAGATGATTCATAGTATCAGTCTTGAAAAATTATAGGTAAATATGAATCACTACATACTAGAGGGTAAAGCAAGCAACCTAAAACAAACTAAAATTGATAGTGATGAAATCTAATAATAACTTATAATGAAAATGAACAGTAGTTAAAAACTATAGTTACTTTGTAAAAAAATCCCAGTGATGTATCGATATAGCATTCCTCCTGAAAACCATGAAAAACTGGAGAATCTACACTTGTGCTTGCAATATGAACATGACTGCATTGTCAGGGCTGCACGGGTACCAGGTTGATATGGTTTGGCGGCGACCCACCCAAATCTCATCTTGAACTGTAGTTCCCATAATCCCCACATATTGTGGGAGGAACCCAGTGGGGGGTAACTGAAGCATGGGGGCTATTATCTGCATGATATTCTCATGATAGTGAGTTCTCATGAGATCTGATGGTTTTATAAGGGGCTTTCCTCTCCCCTTTACTCCGAACTTCTCCTTGCTGTTGCCATATAAAGAATTACATGTTTGCTTCCCCTTCTGCCAAGATTCTAAGTTTCCTGAGGCCTTCCCAGCCCTGTGTAACTGTGAGTCAATTAAACCTCTTTCATTTATAATTAATAAGTCTTGGGTATGTCTTTATTAGCAGTGTGAGAATGAACTAATACACTAAATTGGTACCAGTAGAGTGGGGTGCTTCTATAAGGATACCCAAAAATGTGGAAGCCACTTTGGAATTAGGTAACAGGCAGAGTTTGGAACAGTTTACAAGACTCAGAAGAAGACAGGAAGATGTGAGAAAGTTTGGAACTTCCTAGAGACTTGGGGGACTCAGAAGAGAGGGAAATGTGGGAAAGTTTGGAACTTCCTAGAGACCTGTTGAATGGCTTTGAGCAAAATGCTGATAGTGATAAGGACAATGAAGTCCAGGCTGAGGTGGTCTCAGATGGAGATGACAAACTTGTGGGGAACTGGAGCAAAGGTGACTCTTGCTGTGCTTTAGCAAAGAGACTGGTGGCATTTTCCCCCTGACCTAGAGATCTGTGGAACTTTGAATTTGAGAGAGATGATTTAGGGTATCTGGTAGAGGAAATTTCTAAGCAGCAAAGCATTCAAGATGAAGCAGAACATAAAAGTTTGGAGAATGTACAGCCTGACAATGCAGTAGAAAAGAAAAATCCATTTTCTGGGGAGAAATTCAAGCCTGCTGCAGAAATGTGCATGAATAACCAGGAGCCGAATGTTAATCACCAAGACAATGGGGAAAATGCCTCCAGGCCATGTCAGAGATCTTCATGGCAGCCCTTCATATCACAGGCCAGGAGGCTTAGGAGGAAAATACAGTTTTGTGGGCCAGGTCCAGGATCCCCCTGCTGTGTGCAGCCTACGGACTTGATACCCTGCATCCCAGCCACCCCAGCCATGCTATAAGGGGCCAAGGTATAGCTTGGGCCATGGCTTCAGAAGGTGTAAGGCCCAAGCCTTGGTAGCTTCAACATGGTATTAAGCCTGTAGGTGCACAGAAGTCAAGAATTGAGGTTTGGGAACTTCTGCCTATATTTCAGAGGATGTATGGAAATGCCTGGATCTCTAGGCAGAAGTTTGCTGCATGGGTGGAGCCTTCATTGAGAACCTCTGCTAGGGCAGTGTATAGGGGAAATGTGGGTTCAGAGCCCCCACACAGAGTCCTCACTGGGGCACTGCCTAGTGGAGCTATGAGAAGAGGGCCACCATCCTCCAGACCCCAGAATGGTAGATCTACTGACAGCTTGCACTGTGCTCCTGGAAAAGCTGCAATGCCAGCCCATGAAAGCAGGAAGGAGGGAGGCTGTACCCTGCAAAGCTGTAGGGGCAGAGTTGCCCAAGTCTATGGGACCCCACCTCTTGCATCAGTGTGACCTGGATGTGAGACAAGGAGTCAAAGGAGATCATTTTGGAGCTTTAAGATTTGACTGCCCTGTTGGATTTCAGACTTGCATGGGGCCTGTTGCTCCTTTGTTTTGGCCAATGTCTCCAACTTGGAATGGGTGTATCTACCCAATGCCTGTACCCTACTGTATCCAGGCAGTAACTAACTTGCTTTTGATTCCACGGGGTCATAGGTGGAAGACCCTTGCCTTGTCTCAGATAAGACTTTGGACTTGGACTTTTGAGTTAATGCTGGAATGAGTTAAGACTTTGGGGGACTCTCGGGAAGTCATGATTTTGTTTTGAAATGTGAGGGCATGAAATTTGGGAGGTGACAAGGGCATAATGATATGGTTTGGCTGTGTTCCCACCCAAATCTCATCTTGAATTATAGTTCCCACAATCCCCATGTAGTATGGGATGAACCCAGTGGGAGGTAATTGAATCATGAGGGCAGTTACCTCCATGTTGTTCTCATGATAGTGATTTCTCATGAGATCTGATGGCTTTATAAGGAGCTTCCCCTCTCCCTATTTGTTCTGCACTTTTCCTTGCTGCCCTCATGTGAATAAGGATAAGTTTACTCCCTCTTCTGTCATGATTGTAAGTTTCCTGAGGCCTCCCCAGCCCTGTGGAATTGTGAGTCAATTAAACCTCTTTCCTTTATAAATTACCCAGTCTTGGGTATGTCCTTACAGCAATGTGAGAATGAATTAAAACACAGACATACTGAAAAAAAACTAAATTAGAATATTCAATAAATTCTATGAATGCATTATTTTATGATTATTCAATTTGTAACCTTTTAAACTCATTTATTAGGTTACTAGTAAGCAATATCTAGTCACAAGTGAAAATGGAAGTCTGTGAATTTATGTATTATTTGCCCATAAGAATCAAAGAAAGAACCGTCACTTCTTGGTCAGACCTCAGTCATCAGAGCCCTTTGCCAACGATGGCCCATACTTTGAGAATCACTGTGGTAGGGAAGCAGCCCACTGGGGAACACTTTTCATAGTATAGACTGTTACCATGTAGGGCTTTGCCAATGCCACTATGAAACACTTTAGAAATAGCAAAGTCATCCACAGGAATCAGAGAATATACACAAAATGAATACGCTAATATTTACAATGGATCTCTAACATGTTTACAAGTACCTTGATTGGGAAAAATATGTCATTCTGTACTACATCTGTCTTCTGTGTGAATAAAGACAATACAGAGAGAAATTGGTTGTTATAAATAAGTATTGACTCAGATATGGCTTCCTTGCCACTAAAATAAACTGATCTCTTATTTTACTTACTTTAATCCTGAAAGAATGCAGCTAAGTCAGGCAGTTGTTAGACAAACCAACCTTTATAACTTCAGGTAAATTTAATTATAAATGTTTATATGTTAATAATATCACAAATTTTCCATCATTGTGATAATAATAGCTGTATCTTCCCTAATAGATGGTAAAATCCTTATAAGCAGTAATGGCTTTAGTCACAAAAAGATGTGAATTTTAAAGTCAGGCTGCTTAGACTCATTTCTCAACTCTATTTTCTAGTTCTTTAAGGTAAACTCTGTGTTCCAGTTCCTTTCAGTTCCGCAGAATAGAAATAATGATATTAAACTCATAGGATCATTTTGAAGATTCTAAGAGATACGGTATTTAAGTTCTTAGCATAGGAGCTTAGTAAGTAATCAGTAAATATTAGCAGTGGAATATTATAGGAATGCTTCAATTTATTCTTTGAAGATTACAATTGTTACAAATGGAAGGTTCTGGCAACCCTGGGCTGAATGAGTCTATTGGTATCATCTTTCCAACAGCAGCATGTGCTCACTTCGTGTCTTTTTGTCCTATTTTGGTAATTCTCACAATATTTAAAACTTTTTCATTATTATTATATCTGTTATGGTGATCTGTGATCAATGATCATTGATATTACCACTGTAATTATTTTGGGGAGCCAAGAACAACAGTACACTAAATAACAAATTTTCAATGTAGATGAAACAGCCTTATAGTGGAAGAAGATGCCATCTAGCACTGATAGAGCTAGAGAGAGAAGTCAATGCTTGGTTTCAAAGCTTCAAAAGACAGGCTGACACAGGAGAAAACAGGAAAGTTTAAGTGGTCTGGATAGAAGATGAAACCAGCCACAACATTCCCTTATGCTAAAGCCTAATCCAGAGCAAGGCCCCAACTCTCTTCAATTCTATGAGAGCTGAGAGAGGTAAGGAAGCTGCAGAAATAAAGTTGGAAGCTAGCAGACCCATCTCTTTTCCTCTCCTCAGGCTTCTCTATTTCCTGAGAAACAACAGTATTATTATAATTGGGCCAATTAATTAATCCTACAATGGCCTCTAAGTGTTCAAGTGAAAGGAAGAGTCACATGTCTCTCACTTTAAATCAAAGCAAGAAATGATTAAGCTTAGTGAGGAAGGCATGTCAAAAGCTAAGATACACTGAAAGTAAGGCTTTCAACACAAAAATGATAAGAAAGTGAAACAGCCTTATTGCTGATACGGAAAAAAGTTTGAGTGGTCTGGACAGAAGATCAAACCAGCCATAAAATTCCCTTAAACCAAAGCCTAATCCAGATTAAGGTCCTAACTCTCTTCAATTCTGCGAAGGTTGAGAGAGCTAAAGAAGCCACAGAAGAAAAGTTGGAAGCTAGCAGAGGCTGGTTTCTGAGGTTTAAGGAAAGAAGCTATCTCCATAACATAAAAGTGCAAGGTGAAGCAGTAAGTGCTGATGGAGAAGCTACAGCAAGCTATGCAGAAGATCTAGCTAAGATGATTGATGAAGGTGGCTACACTAAACGATAGATTTTTCAATTTCATTACAGATGAAATGCCTTACAGTAGACTTTCAGAGCTAGAAACAAGTCAATGCCTAGCTTCAAACCATAAAACAGGCCGACTTTGTTGTTGGGGGCTAAAAGAGCTGATGACTTTAACTTGAAGCCAATGCTCATTTACCATTCTTAAAATCCTAGGGCCCTTGAGAATGATGCTCAATTAACTCTGCCTGTGCTTTATAAAGGAAACAACAAAGCCTGAACAATAGTACATCTATTTATAGCATGGTTTTCTGAATATTTTAAGCCTATCATTGGAACCTACTCCTTAGAAAAAAAAGATTCCTTTCAAAATATTACTTCTTATTGACAATATACCTGGTCACCCAAGAAGTCTTTTGGAGATGTAAAGATTAATGTTGTTTTCATGTTTGCTAATATACCAGCCATTCAGCTGCACATGGAACAATTAATTTAAAATTTCAAGTCTTATTATTTAAGAAATACATTTTGTAAGGCTATAGCTGTGACAGATAGTGATTCCTCTGATGGATCTGGGAAAAGTAAACTGAAAACGTTGTCAAAAGAATTCACTATTCTAAGTGCCATTAAACACGTCTGTGATTCACAGGAGGAAGTCAAAATATCAAGATTAACAAGAATTTAGAAGAAATTGAATCCAGCCCTCGTGGATGGCTTTGAGGGGTTCAAAACTTTAGTGGAGGAATTCACTGCAAGTGTTGTGGAAATAATAAGAGAACTAAAATTGGAAGTAGAGCTTGACCCTAATTTTGAATGAAGTTCTACTGTGGGTATAATGCTATTAAATCATGCAGCTAATAAATCTTTTGTGAAAGGAAGAATAAATTGATAGAGCAAACTTTGTCATTTTATTTTAAGAAATTGTTAAAACCACCCCAATTTTCAGCTACCACCACCCTGATTAGTTAGCAGACAACAACATTGAGGGAAAACCCTCCACCAGCAAAAAGAAAAATTATAATAATAATAACAGTAACTTATTGAAGGCTCACATGATCATTAGCATATTTTAGCAATATTTTCTAATTATGTACATTGTTTTTTAGACATCATGCTATTGTGCACTTAGCAGACTACAGTATAGCATAAACATAACTATTATATGCACTGGGAACCTAAAAAATATTGTGTGACTTGCTTTATTGTAATATTCACTTTATTGTGGTTGTCTGGAACTGAACATGCATTATCTCTGAGATATGCCTGTGTTAGTCTTTGTATATTCCATTGTACTTAGACTGGGCTTTATACATGGTTGCCACTACTACAATTGTTGTTAGGTTTCTGTTAAATTATGCTATTTTTTAAGGGCAATATATTATGCTAAAATCCATACTGCAATTGTTTAAATCCTAGCTCTACTACATAACTACCTAATTAATCCATGTCCCTCAACTTTCTAGTATGTAAAATGAGGATAAAACCAGCAACTGAGCTTCCTCACAGCATTATGAAAATAAAATAACATAGTACAAATAAGATAGTATTTAATCTTAATCAGATAAGAATATCAAATAATATTTTTATCAGAATAGCATTTTCCTAGTGTTTATTTATTTGCTAAATTTTAAAAAATAAAAATGTTTTTAACAGTTCTACCCCTCTCTTCCCTCCATCAAAAAAGCCACAAAACCTCACAAATTGGCCAGAATGGCTGAAAGTACTTATTAGACATAAAACAATTGAATATTTGCAGTCATATGATAAAAAACAAAGACAGGCCACCCTAATGTCTGAATGTCATGAAAGGAATTATCCAGATTTTTGAACACCTATTAAAAGTCTGTTTTTAATCATCCAAAATTATACCAGTATTCAGTTTACGAAAGTATACCTACATACTGCTTGAATCTATAATCCAATTTTACTTTTTCTGGCATCTCAGCATGCAGACTTAAAATAAATGACTATTATTATTATCATTATTAATTTTAGGGACAGGGTCTCAATCTGTCACCCAGGCTAGAGTGCAGTGGTATGAACATGGCTTACTGCAGCCTTGACCTCCTAGGCTCCAGCAATTCTCCTGCCTTAGCCCCCCAAGTAGCTGGGACTAAAGGTGCATGCCACCACATACAGCTTATTTTTGTATTTTGTGTATAGATGGGGTTTTGTCATGTTGACTAGGCTGGTCTCAAACTCCTGAGTTCAGGCAATCCACCTGCCTTGGCCTCCCAAAGTGCTGGGATTACAGGCATGAGCCACTGCGCTCGGCCTAATTAATTATTTTGCATGAGAATTCAGTTTAGCAGCTTTAATGTGAGAGCAAGTTGTCATATGCACATCATATTAGGGAAAAATAAGTTCTACAAGACTTAAAGATGAGATTCAGAATAATTCATTTATTCTTTCAAGACTTTTCTTACCACATCTGATTTTCACACATATATACACACATACCACAAATAAAACTGCTGTCTGCCTTTTCTTCATGTACTTTCAGGTTAGATGAGGGTTTAGAAGCTAACCGCTTCCACATTTTCAGACAGAATCAGTGAGTAGGTAAAATAAAGTTATGCTCTTTTGAAAAATGCTATAACTTGCTTGGCTGATGGGCATATTAGGACCTTTGTAATGAGATGGCAGGGAAAGGAAGCAAGCAAGAACTAGGTGGAACTGAAGTTTTTCAGCTGGAATGAAGGAGATAGGGCAGGGGATGTGAGGCAGCTAATCCTGTGCATTATCGGCCCCTGTGGGGCTGGCCTAGGAAGATGGAGGGGACTTTGTTTGCAGGTTGAAGATACTAAGAAAGCCACTAAAGTTCCTGTCACATTTACTCACTCGTTAATTCACTTACTCCTAACATTTTTATTGAGAGCTTATAAGGTACTACATTTGTACTAGTGCTGAAATACAGTACTGAACAAAATGGAAAAATTGTCCCTGCTTATCATTATGAACATGGGCATACCTGTCCTGCCATATACAGGAGAGAAAAACACTAAGCAGACATTCACATAAACATATAATTAAAAATCCCAAGGAAGGTTTTGAAGAAAAACTACTGGATGACAAGAGAACATAGAAGAACTGATTTAGTCCAGAGGGTAGTGGTCGGGGAAGATCTCCTTGTGATTTCAGGTTTAGACAGGCAGGCATTCTTGGGAGAAAGAAGATATAAAAGCATTCTCAGTAGCAAGAATAGCATGTTGAAAAGGAAAGTGGTGGCAAAGAGCTGGTCAATGCTTAGGGTAGCTAGAACAGAGTGAATGATTTCCTTTTAAAAAAGTTTGAGGAAAAAATATATAGAATATCGGATATGTGGAATTAATAAAAAAATTTATAATCCCATAAACTTCTAAATCTTCATTATAAGATAATGAATTGAACTCTGAAGCCAAACGATATTTGCCTCGCTTCATGTATTTTTATTAGGCTGCTTTCCACAACAGAACAGTGAAGATTATACTCTAGGTGTGCATATAAGGAATACTATATGCATGCATGCACACACCCCTTTACTTTGCTGTTTAAGCAGATTTAATAATGATATAATCTTGCTATTAAGTTCACACTAAATTCCCCCCCCCCTTTTTTTTTTTGACACGGAGTCTTGCTCTGTCACCCAGGCTGGAGTGCAGTGGTGTGGCTCACTGCAACCTCTGCCTCCTGGGTTCAAGCACATCTCCTGCCTCAGCCTCCCAACTAGCTAGGACTACAGGTGTGCGCCACCACACCTGGCTAAATTTTTCTATTTTTAGTAGAGATGGGGTTTCATCATGTTAGCCAGAATGGCCTTGATCTCCTGACCTTGTGATTCACCTGCCTCAGCCTCCCAAAGCACTGGGATTACAGGCGTGAGCCACGTGCCCGACCAATTTTCTTTAACTTTTAACTCAACATCTTTCAATTACATAGAGCTAGTATTACAACAGAGAGAGAAGCCTATGAAATGCAATTCTCAATCTTCATAGTACTCTTCCACTTAGTCCTATTCCATTAAGCATGGCCATGTAATCCAAAGGAGTAACTGGCAAAAATAAAGATTAGTGGTTCATCATGAAAGTGATTAGATTACAGATTGATACTGATATTGTGTTTTTAGGAAAATTTAACATAAGGAAAAAGCCTTTCATTTTTAAGTAAGTGTGTATAAACAGATAAAACAGAAATTCATGTGAAGTATAAAAAGCTATTATTTAAGCATATGTTGCTTTGTCTCCAAGGTCCAAGCATTTTTAACTATAATATTCTGTTGTCCCAGCAATAGATCAAGCTAAATAACTACTTGTGTTTTATAACAGCAGCAGCTCTGTATGTTTTCCCTAACTTAATAATAACATAAAGCAAAAGACAATTTTGGATAGAAATCAATCCAAGCACTGAAAACATTATTAACATCAACATACGAGGGCACATACTTTTTCAAGCCAAGCCTTTTGAAAATGCACTCATTTATTCATTAAAGCACAAATTCCTCTGCATATGGAATGTGTACCATGCATGAAGCAATAGGGTAGACTGTGGAAAGACCCCTGGAGTAGGTGATTTGGGTTATAGTCCTGACAACAGCACTTACACTTTGTTTGCAACACAACTTTGTGTAAATCATTTCTGATTTTGAGTTTTGTTCTTTGCAAATATGGTTGTGAGGTTCAGAAGATATATCATATGTGAAAACTCCCTTGCTAACTGTGAAAGCACTAAACAAGTGCAAGGTGAGCTCTTCAAGGGAACTCAAGAGTCTAGTAAAAACCTCACCAATTAAAGTTCTCTCTTTTAGAACATTGATTATAGATATCCAACATGCACTTGGGGGTTAACAATTATTTTGCTTCTTCTAAACCTGAGAACAGAGTTAGGAAATACCCAGCCTTCTACTCTGGAATTGGTATATCAGAGTTACAGGGGAAGATTTCCCCCAAAGTTAACAATATTCCTTGCTCTATGCTGGTGCTCTATCAAAAATTAGTTGAGATAGATGTCATCTACTTGGGAAATACCACGTTACAGATTTAAGACATATATAATAAAAACAGGAGGCAAAACTGGACTCCAATTCCTTTCTTAGAGTAAATTTCTAGAAGTGAAGTTAGTAGACCAGATTCTCGATATACATAACTAAATAATGTCCTTCTGAAAGGTGGTAAAGATTTACACTCTTCAAAAATATTCAAAATATTCCTGATTACAAGTTTGACTCACCTTTTACTGTTTTCCCTAATTTAATACCTCATAGTTAACAAGACTCAACTACTTTCCTTCCCCACACAGTATAACAACTATCAGGATATGCATGACAGAATGGAACAGGCTGAGTATTTAAATGTGCCTTCAATGGCTCACTACTCCTCTCAGGATAAATCCAAACTTTTAATAATTTATACACTCTGAGTCAAAGTGATGGTCTCTTCTTCCTTCTCTAGGGTCATCTCTCACTAGCAACTTCCTTCTTGAATAGGACATCTGTCCCTCATCTTCAAACTTTTGTTCAGGGTATTACTTATGACTGGAACACCAGATTCTAGAGGAAGCTCAGTGCTCATACAGCTCTTCTGAGTCGTGGTAATAACAAAAGTCCCCTTCAAACAGCTAAGAGTGCTGATTTCAGGCTGACTCTGAATGTCTATCGAAAAAATAATAATTCAACAAATCAATCATTTAATGGAGCAGATTTTGATATGGGCACTAGTGTCTTGGAAAGAGACTTGAGAGTATGTAACTGGGGAAAAGGGAGGGTAGAGAATGAGGCACCTAGGAGTGCTAATGACACTATAGTCCAAATAAAAATATTTTTCTATACTCTAATTTTATGAAAGAGCTATAGAATAAGTAGATGACTTAAGAGATTTACTCAGGGAAACAATTCAAGAATAAGTTATTTAATCTTTCACATTTTGTATGCCTAGATGGTATACCTTCTACTGCAGGAGCAGATTAAAAATTTCATCTATTTTAAGCATTAAGCAAAGTCATTCAAATTACTTAAAACTTGTAGTCCATGTTTTTCAAGGGCTCCTAAAAAGAAGCTATAGTTCTAGTGACACAACAAACTCCTTTTAACCAAAATGGTTTAAAATGCGTAATTTTGTGGATTGAATGTTCTTGCTAACACGATTCTCAGCTTCCCCATGGCCATTATCCTAGTTTCTCATCATCCATATGGCTTGGATTTAAAGGTCCTGCTTTTGATCTCTCAAATGATGCTCTGCACTAGAGAGATCAAACAGGCCAATTTGATCATGCAAGTCTCCAGCTCAAAATTATTCAATAGCTCTTTATTACTGCAGGAAAGAACCTAAGTACTTTATCATACGATTCATGATCTAACCTTTACCTGTGCCTCCAGGCCCATCTACTTTCCCTTTTTCATGTCATTTCCTTCTATTGTTAATAAACCAGCAATTATAAGCCACATGAAATCCTTGAAATGTGCCACATTCTCACACACTTGTGGTGCACCTGCATGTGCCTTTGCACTAAACTATTGCTATTCATATTTTATTCTTCATTCAAATGCTCCCCACTCTGAAGCCTTTTCTCACTTTCCCTAAAGACTAAGGCTTTCTTTCTCCTAAGTTCCTCTTATACTTTCTGCACCCACCCATAACAACAGTTAAGTTATATTGGGACTCTCATCATGTCTTTCTCCCCATATAATGATGTGTCACGTCTTCCCATTTTACCTCTAGCTCTACTCTCCATGTCTAGCAAATAATAGATGCTCATTTTTAAATGGAATCATGACTGTATTAAAATTACCTTTTTAATGTTGAATGTAAAATGTAAAATTCAACATTAAAGAGGTAATTTTAATACAGTCATGATACTGTGCATTGCACAGTATCACACTGATGATTAATCAGCTATTTATTATCGTTCTCCATCAATTTTGTACATATTGTTATCCCATTAAAAATCCATCTTGCCACAAACTATGAACTCGTTGAACACATAAACTTAAGAAAAAAATCAATTACCCATCATTTTTTAAGAGCATAAACTTTGAAGTTAGGCTCTTTTGTGAAAATCTAGTAAAAGGAAAAAAATAATCTGGACTTTACTTAAAAGAGTCACTTGCTAGTTGCTCAATAAAAGCTGTATCAAAAGTCTTTGAAATTTTACTTACATGGTATAGTGTGGTCTCTGGCACAGGAGTTCCCATGATGTCTTGTCTCAGTGCATCCATTTGTAAACTAGGTAGCAATGAATAGTGAGTTGGGCTATTACTCTTATCACCCTTCTTTTTTGACTTCTTCCCTGTGTCCTTTTTGCTATTTCTCTGAAATATGTATTCTTCTTGAGCAATCTTTTCATTGCTCATATACCGAAGTAAAGAGTTTTCTATTGAAAAAGAGATAAATACACCAATATAAATATACAAACACCCCAAATTTATTATGCTTTCTCAATTGTGCTATTATTAGGTTGGCACAAAAGTAATTGCGGTTTTTGCCATTACTTTTAATCACAAGAACTGCAATTACTTTTGCACCAACCTACTATATTTCATTTCAGAACTTTAACTTGATTTAACTCATAAAATATGTAGTGAAATACAGTATATCTTAATTATTTGGGATAAGACAATTAAAAATAGCCAATAGATTATTTCTCCAAGTTTTATCTTTAGACTAACTACATTAGAATCACCTGTGGAACCTGAATCAGAAGTTCTAGGTGTGTGGTTTAGAAAATCTGTAACAAGCTCCCTCAGGGGGATTTTGCCAAAGCCCAATAACAAACACTGGCTCCTGGCATGCAAAGTAGCATGCTTGGAGAAGCTAAAGCCCACGTTAAGAACCCATAGTAAGGAAATTTATTCAGGAATTCTATGCTTAAAATGGTAGTCAGCACTTGGTACTTCACATGGTCCCCCATCCCCACCAACAAAAGTCACTATAATATGAAGTCCCAAAACAGTGACTCTGAGATAGCATATGATAAGCATTTCTCTTTTATATTTTTCTTGATTTATTCTATAGAACAAATGAAATTAGAAATTGAAGATTGGAAAACGGAATAAATACATAGATGTAAAGGAGTATGTCAACATTCCTGTATTTATCAACATTTTCAGAAATGCTCACTCCATAAAAAGTATTAAGAAGACTAATGAATCAGATATTCATGTCTGCTTGTCCATATGGTCTGTGGATCCGTGTGGTAATAAAATAAATTCTGTATACTGGCTAGAAATAACAAGAAAATGGGTCAAATATATCATGAAGGAAGCTTAGTGAAATTACATTCTATAAATAGTTTTTTGTTTTGATTTATTTCTCAACTATGACCTTACGGCTTTCTACTTCAGAAAGTGGAAGTAGCAGCATGACCCACTGGGCCCACCATACCCACACTTGATTAAATCCTATTCAGTAGGGAAACTTTCAGTTGCTCTCTTTATTGCTCATCTCTATAGCAGGATAAGTGAACATAAAAACTTACTTTTGGTAGATATTTCAAGAGTAGCCCACCCCCATATAAGAAGACAACTCTGAACAGCAAACAGAACAGGAAAAAAAAGCAAAAGTCTTTTTCTATTTCTACATGGTTTTTGTTAGAAGTCACTGGCCCAGTTTCCATTAGCTTTTAACACATGTGCTTCAATGTTCATTTTGAGGTTGCTTCCATACAAAAGTGGTGAGGTTCCATTGCGGACCGATGAGGATTGATGATAAACTCTTCCTATTCCCTGAACTTATTATTTTATGCAGTTTCACACTTCTGACCTTGTGTTCCAAATATTAACTTTCAAATAACAATTAGATATTCACTTTTAACACTGTACTTATCTACCCTGAACCCCTTAGAAGTCATTCAGAGACAATATCTATTTAATACTGGGTCAAGATAGTCAAATGTTGGTCTGACTTGGTTTTGTTGTACAAAAAATCAATGATAGAATCAAGTTTTCCACTGAAGCCATAACAATCTATTTACAGAACATTTAAATCTGCTTACTGTTGAAACAACCCAGCCTACACTGAAATTCTATAACACTTACCTCTTCTACTATCTCTCTTCATCTTATTTGGATCTTCATAGTCCCCCACCCAATTATATTCCACTGGCATAGATATAGGTCGTAGCTTGCCTAAACACAGAGAACAAAGTTCATATCACATTGTTTTTCTTCCCCATGTCTGCTTAAACTTACACTGATTTTCAGCTAAAGTCTACCAAACACACTCACTCTTATGCAACATTACGGTTGGCATTTGTGTAGATGGAGAAAATGTGTTTTGAGCCAGAAGGTGAAACTGCCTATGGCCAGGTGATAAAACAAACTTAAAGTACTTTTTATAAATAATAATGAAAATAGCCTAGGTTAGCTCTCTTAGGAACACCAGACTTTAAGACTGTCGCTTTTTTTTCAAAGAGAATAATCAAATAAGTGATTTTATTTTATTTTCAGTAACTGGATCTCTATATTATTTCCTAATGCCCAAGTGTCTATATCTTGATAGCCAACCTCCAAGATGGTAGCTCTCTGTGTTTAACCTATCAGACCATCCATTGGTACCATCCACTGCTTCATGTTGGAACACCACAAGGATAACTTTTTATCTTTGCTGCTTCCTAACTCCTATCAACATACATATTGGACACCACCATGCCTCAAAAATATGGTTAGATTCTCTTTCATGTCCTATAGCTAAATCTGTTTCTAAGCATCTCTTTTGCTACAGTGAGCCTGCCCCGTTTGCAGATCCAAGTAATCACTGCTTTGGTCTGTCCCATTTCCCCCTGGGTCTGTATCCTTACTAAATTTCACTTCATCATGGAGAACTCATGGCAAAGACTTCAATAATAACTTTTATTTTGGTGAGGTTGCAGTGTATTATTTTTGTTCCACTTGAAATTCCTGAAGCCTAAAACAGCCAAAGAAAATAATTCGAAAGCTTTAACAGGATACCTAGCACAATGCCTGGTATGAAATAGTTGATTAATAAATTTCTAGTGAATGAAAAGCAGAGACTCACACAGGACTGGATCATACAAATAATGATGGTTATTATCATTATGATAATAGAAAATGTATATATCATTTGCCATATATCACATACTAAGAGTTTTATAAGTATCAAATTATATACTCATGTTAATTAAGAGAAATATGCTACATTATCCTCATTTTCACTGATGAGGAAACAGGTTATGTAACGTGCTCAAGGACACATACCTGGTAACTGCATTGTATCAGGATTTAAACCCAGGGACTCAAATATTACTTCTGTCATAATTCTTGGTGACTTCAATATTCACCCTCTGAGATTCTGGCCTTTCAGTTTCTTGAGGTTCTCTCCTACACTCATTCTTGTAGTCATATGCTTAATCTCATCTGCAAAGGCTGCAATCCCTTTAAATATCCCACTTACCAACTACTACCTTTTTTATTTCTAGCATACTCCCTACAGTACTCCAAGTCCAACAATTCTTCCTCCTTTAATCTATTAATACCGAATGCACCACTTTTCAGTATCTATCACCTTCTGTCCCTGCAACTTCCCTCCTTGCACAGCTAAATTTTGATTATTACAGTCACTCAATTGTGTTTTAAAAAATTCTATTAGGAGAATTCTAATTCTGTTCTTAAGGAAAATGTATCAATCTTACGGCTTTTTATTGTGAACACTGATACAGTTTAGTCTGTTTTGCTAAGCTCTTTTAAAGTCTGAGGAATTAACTGGACATGATAAAATTACTAATGAGCCAAAAATGTAGTATTTATTTAATGGCTTCTTTTCAAGGTATGCAAACAACTTTATAAATGATCACCTAATATTCCAAATTATCTAACAGTATTTCTCTGCTCTTTTATAGAGGGAATTTGAGTGAGATGATCTGAGGCAGGATAGGTAGTCAAGGAAGTAAACATGTCCTCACATGGTGACCATACAGTTAACACAATAAGCCCCAGCATTCACATTGTAGTCCAGCTCATTCAAACACAGCTATCTATAGTAGGGAATTCCCCCCCCAGGGAGCATATGCATTTTGATTACATCTGCTCTCAGACTGACCCTTTGTTTATTATAATAGTAAATAACAAACCCCTGGGTAGAGATTTAAGATGCTAATGAGACTTGCAATGTATGAACAAGCATGTACGGCTACTGTGCATGTGCACCCAGAGGACCACCAAGAACATGCTTACTAGCAACACTTCTTCCCATCCCTTTATGAATAATCATGTAGACTCCCATAAAGGGAGTCTCCCTAGTGCCAGTCATGGTGGTCTCATCCTTAGGAGCAGTCTTCCCTGAATCTTCTCTTAGCATGCACTATCTATTCTGCACCTAACTTTCATATTTTTTGTCCTTTGTAATAAATTGCTCTACGCTACACCTCCTTTGCTGTGTGTCTCTTGTTGAAATTATTTTAAGCTAAGAAGAACCTAGGTCTCACAATAGCCATCTATAGATCCAGGTCAATATTGTGCCTAACAAAGGTACGGTAAGGGTTTGAGGGAAGGTCTCTTTTTGTTATGTCTATTTCTACCATTTTGCACAGCCAGTCCTCCAGATTTTCAATGTTATGAATGCTGGTTTTCAAAATATCTACAATTTATTTCTTTAGGATCTGGTTTTAAAAATAAACTCTACTTCAGCACGGGCACTGAAATTGAAGCAATTAACAGCTCTAGCACTGTTTTTACATGTTACCAAAAAAATCTTTTGAAAAGTGAAAATCCAATAAATAGTTAATTATTTTACTTGCTCTCTATATTATATATATATTAAAAAGTTACTTAGATACTTTTTGAAAATTGGTTGTTTGGAGTCAAACATGTGCACAAAAACAAGAAGAAACATACTTCACACACAGAGTATGAAATACATAATTGTTTTCATTGTATTTTGTGCCATCTCTGAAATTCTAATGGAGCTAAGTCACTGAAGCATGTAATTAAGCCCTTGATATGTCTGGTTGTATAATTAGCCATAGAAACAATTACGTAGAAGGTTTTTAACACTGACTTTTCCGGGAGTGACTTTTTAAACAGAATTATACTGTGTATCACTAGCACACAATTGAAGGAAAATATATTAAATTAGAAAAAAAACTGGGAGAAAAAGCTTTACTAAAATTTACTTTTGGAGAACATCAGGTTTTGCT